CCCCTGACAATGTCGCAGGACCTTGCGCCGAGACCAGCTAACATCATAACCAAATCTTATGAAATTAAGCGAAATATGTATTGACCAGTAAGCCCAGCTTCTCGACAAGCATTAATTGTGCGCCATGGATACACACGCCAATAGAATAACAAGATTCAAGTTGGCAGTGACACAAATTGGCTGGACGGATTAGACTAAACGTGATTTTATTTTGTCCCATTCCAGTCGTCCTGATGATGAATCAACTTAATAGCAGCTTCACTATTTCAAGTTATTTTCTTCAAATTCCATGCGTCACTAAATAGGCGGTATCCAATTTATGTGAGCTTTCAGCCAAAAATGGAGGCAAACTTCAATACCAAACCCAGCAAGCAGTACCTTTTTTCACGTCAGAGGATGATTGATAGCCTCGGCCCACTAAACATACTTTTGGTTGAACAGATGGGGCAAACAAGAGTGGTCTTTTACTGAACGCAGCAGATTACTGAAGCAAAAAAAGTAGTCATTCTGCGTCATGCACATCCCCGTTGGTTCACCATTTGTGAAGCCTATCATGCGTGGCGTTTATCCTTGCTCTTGCCCAAATCTGTACGGATCGCTGCACACAAGGCCTTGCGTGAGTTTGCAACCATCAAACTCTACAATCTCCAGAATACAGGCATGGCTTGAAACCTTTTAGTGATATATTTACATTACAAATTCACGGTTTCATCTTATCCTGTCCAATTACTTTTGACCGTTTGGGATCACATTTATCAGTCTGGCCGGTGGGAAAATATGTTCTTAAAGTGCAGATGTTAATAATAATCTGATGGCAAGCTTCGACACTCAGGTCACTAGTTGGAAGTTATTCATGCAGACAAAAAAATGATATATCTTGGCCTCTCCTCTAAAAGTTACGATGCTTTCAGGTTAAATGAGTAGTTTCCTCACCAAACCGATTTCTTGTTTCTAGGGTTTTTGCCACGCACTCCTTGTTCACCAGACTGTGGCGAATTTGTATCTTCACTAGGATTCCATCCACACAGCGTTTATCCTGTCGATCCAGATGGCTGCATTCTAAAAAATGAAATTATTTAATTAGAGTACATTTGTCAGTATATTGGGGAAATGTGTGATCAATGCGAAAAATGTTGGTATAAAGTGAAAGGTCCTCTAAACATATGGCCACGTTTAAGTAAAACCCCCAAAGATGAAATTAGGCCGATTTATAAAAAACAAACTAGACTCCAGAAGATTCAAGCCCAAACCGACCTGCCATTCAGAACTAAGACGCGGCTTTCTTCAGACAAGAAAGCAGAAGCATCTACGAACCGCAGTGGCGTACCCAAAACTTGTTTTGAGTAATTTTGTGAAGGTCAATGACTCTACTTCTTGGTTAATCAAGAGGTTACAACTTTCGATTGATTCATTAGTTTCCAAGGTAAAAGAAACTATTTTCAATGTAGAAGTTTTCGAGACTATCAGTTAGTTGGTCGTAGGATGAATAGTCTGTCTCATCAGCATCTCAAACGAAATTTGCTACCGAGTCGTGTGTATGGTGGCAACGTAATGAAGTGTTAATGTAGTCTCGCTACTCATGATCCGATCTTGAATCCCATTGGGGGTTCATCGTGTTGCCTACTCATCTGGTTGTGGGAAAACTCAATTATCAGCCCCTAAGTCACATTGACTCATATTGAGTGATTGAGTTCTTAAACAAACCCAGCTTCTGTGGCGAAGCAGACAAGATACCGCAGCTTAAGGGCTTAGTTTACTCAAAGCAGAAAGACTAATGAAGCGGCCTCCTCTGTAGGTCTGAAATGAGCAATTTTTGTAGCAAATTTGAGCATAGACAAGGCATGCCATTCTGAGGAATAGGTTTCGGTCCGAGGGGGTTGGCGATTTAAAATGCATAAACAGGAATCTCTATTGAAGACTAGACAATTTATTTCTTTTCCGGCTTCATGGAATCCATCGTAAAAGAAAGTAATTTTCAGGACTGTCACGGGTATTGTTCAGAGCTGATATTTTGTTTGATATAGTGGACACAAGTAATTAAATTAAGAAAGAAAGATTGCGGCCGCCAGGATTTCTCAGTGACATTTTCCTCCATTTTGGTACCAACTAAGCATTCTCATTCCGTCTGGATCGTGATTAAGGCCTTGCCCAAATCCTATTAGAAATGCAGACGCTGCTCAAAATCAAGGCTATACTGAGGAGATTATATTATTTTCAAGAAATCACACAAATGCACTACTTATCAAGGATATATAGTCTTTCTGAGAGTACGATTATGATCTGTGCTTACTACAGATTAGCTGTTATATTCAATTTAGAAGTGAGCCATGGAAGTTTTTTTGGCCGCTGAAGGTGTCAAGTGTACCTTCGACATGTTGAACATGAAGGAAAAATGATGCTGAGTAGTTCAAACATCAAATCAGATGCGGGAAAAGGATGTCCACGAAGTAAATACATACAGCCTCCCCATAAAAAGCCGACATTGGCTGAGACCCGACAGAACCATGAAAGAGAGGAGTCTAGCTATTCATGACACGTTGCCATTGTTGATGAAAAGGGACCAGTTCCTTAATATTTGGTACAAGGAGGATGTGGATCCGAGGCGGACTAAATGATAGGCGGGGGAGAAGGCTCGTTAAGTCTGTATTTACTGCAGTTTTCGCGCCATCGCTTGACAACATGCTCCTGGCAACTGCATGTGCTCGCCTCTACCGTGTACGATTTCAAGACCATTGCCTGCTGGTAACTGTTCGCGGCAGTGCAGGCTTCATCCTCTCGGATGGTTTTCGGCTTCGGACAACTTCTCGGCCAACGAATGCAGTGTTTCACCAGGCGACAACTGCGAGCGCCTGGATTGAACAAGAATTGGGTGTAGCATTTGACGAGTCTGGAAGAAAGGAGGGAGGAAAATATGTCATATCAAAAAGCGTATTTTAGTTTCAAAAGCAAATAAATGGCAAAACAAAATGGAACAGCTTGCCTACTGGACCCTATTATTATAGTGTGTTACTGAACTAATTCTATACTACTCAACTTTTGGTGTGAGTAGTATTGATCAATGGACCAGTTTCCGACTTCATTTGCTATCTTCTTCCCTACACCAATCTATATTTCACTAATATCTCATCTCTAAGATTGGACAAATTTTTTGGATTGTCGTTTGACGGTAGACAAGCCAAATAGCCACGGTTACTTAACCTTTATACGCCCCAATCGAAGTAATAAGACAGAAATAAACATATAATAATATTTATAGTAAGATACATGCATTTATAATACTACTCCTAATCATAAAACAGTTTATTATAGATAAAATAAATATTCAAAAGTGAATAAAAAAGCCTACTAAAGCAATTACCCCTGAGCAGACTAGTAGCGATCAGATAAGATCTCTATTAAACCTAAACTAAACCATCGTTTGCTTGTCTTTTCAAAGATTTACGCCCTAGCCTTTAACAGCTCTATGGTTTCCACAATTGATAAGTAAGCCAAACTCGAATACCGATAGCCCATACAAGCCATCATGAAGGATGGTTACTATTATGTGGCAGCATAGCCTACCGCCTACTCCTAGCTATTAATATCGGAGAAGGTGAGAAATAATAAAGCGAAATTAGGCAATTCAGATAATACCTAAAGCCCTGTTGTGCACGTAAATAAGAGGTTTTAAAAAAAATTAAGCTTTTATAAACCCTCATATCCTGCACTATCCAAAGAGAGCTAGAGCTCTAAGAGTTGTTGGATGCCGCATTTCTTTAATATTTTTGGCAAGAAATGGAACATCTTCGGAATATCTAATCTTCTCGCCTTTTAAGTTTACAAGTTATAACATCTTGACCGTAAAAATGGAAAGGCTTGTCAAAATGATTACTATATCACTAGATCAACATTAGTAGAAGCCCCCCCTTACTAAGAACACTGTATTGAATGGCTATAAATTTATAAATACATATGAAATTGTATGCCCGGGAAGCTCATGATCTTGCCAATTAGAGCGTTGCACTGGGAGCATAAAGACCAGGTTCGTGATGGGATGAGCATTTATGTATTTTTCAGTTCTAAATTCTTATGGCTTAGATGCTAATGCTACAGCTGATTGTTGCAAGCAGCTAGTATGGGATTGTGAATAAACACACTTTTCATTTTTGCTGAAGCGTATCCGAAAAAGGATTCAATTGATAGCCATAGTCCACTTTTGCTGGTGATGCTAATACCTAATAGGCTTCAGTGATATCTTTATATACCAACACTTTTGAGTAAAGCTAGAACTGGCCAATATTTGCATTAAATTTTAAACGTGACTAAAACTAATAAAAGTAACATAATATTGCTATCCTCATATCCAAACAGAACTGCTCAGGCTGCTGACGGCTCCATAAGATCTGGATGAGATAAAGGTCCACTTAAGGCTTAAGACATGTGAAATGTGTTGATAAAAAACACCCCTGGCAACAAGCAACTCGCGCCAGCAGGTAAACCTATTCAATCTTGGCAACTAAATTTCTCGTTCTCTGTCGGGATAGGTTATTTTGGCCAATTTCCGAATAAAATAAGGACTTATAGAACTGGTGATGATAGGACATGATAGTTAAAAAATGAAAGCGGAAAGTGGAAAGATATGCGTTTCTGTGTAATACTTACTTGCTCATAAAACTTTTCGACTTTACACCTACAAGAGCATGTATCTACCAGCTAGTTTTCCTTTAATTATTTGTTTCATACCATTTAGAGTCTACAACTAGAAACCTCATTATCCCACGTAGTTACATCGTGTGTTTTAGTAATATTGCTTTCTCTGCTACCATAGACACGAGGAAAGTTGCCGGGAGAGAGTAGAAAAGACCTTTGTGCACGAAAGAAGCTTGAGCCGGCTTCCCAGTTGATCACAGCCCTCGTAGTCAACACGACAGTCCATTCGTTTTGAGGTGAATGTAGTTTCCGTGAGTGTGTGTGAACGTGTGGGTATGAGTGATTATTGTACTCTAAATAGCCCACATTTGTCACAATTCTCTCACCTGCCATCTCCGTCACAGTATATCCTCCGGACCGGCTTTGGACATGAGCAACGAACCTTCTTTTTCTGTAGGAAGAGTTCACACTTTTGGTTGATCAGTCGAAACGACTCTGTCTGAATGATTCGGAAATTGTTTTTACATTTCAAGTAGATCTCCCGCGAAATTGGGCAATCTACATAAATTAGGAAAAGGCTATGATTAGCTTAAATTTTGGCAATAGAGAGAATCATTCGAGGCTAATTATTTTATCTTGTTTATACATTTATGAATAGGTTTTATTTCCAGTCTTCAGGAGGCTCGTTGTCATCGAGGCATTCCCGTTTAGACTTATAACTTGCCTCTGCACAATTTCTGGGAAAGAATGTTCGAGACTTGACTTATTTTGTCATGCCAACGGGATTTTAAATGTATACGTGTCGTGTAACGCAGCATTTAAAGTCGCGGTTTCGCTAAGAAGGCAACAATTCGCCGCTTGAAACCCTTGTCCGCCCGGGGTGAGGACAGGGTGACGCAGTGAGGTCGAAACTCATTCCAATCGGAAAATGAGAACTGATGCTAGGGATAAATGGGAAAGCGGAGCATAGTACAAAAGTCAAAAATTCCCTCTACTTACTTGTGGTCAAACTTGCTATCAGTCCATAAATAGACCACTAGAAACTGATGCACTTCAACAATTTTATCTTTTTTATTGAGTCTTTCATATGCCTGTTCCCAAAGCCCTTGACGTCTGACAGCTCAGAAGTAATTAGAAAATATAGCTTCTACCTGATATATGAGCTGTTTAAAGGGCCTATTTTCCATTTTGATTAAAGCTGATTTATGTAAAAAAAAAGCTCTATAGTTAGAATATGACGGGTTCCTGCATATTCAACTGTATCTGGGCGTCTGCTCGACAAAAGTTTGTCTCTCCTAACAAATTTTCAGACCTCTTGAGAAGATTCCCCAATTCAGCTGTCGGTACTGGTTTAGTGTTGACTTCATCTCCCTGTGAATAAAATTTCCTTTCGCCTAACTTACTATTTCTGCCCCAACAGACGACTACTATGGATTCCCGTTTTTGCTAGCTTACTTAAGTTTACCCTGTGAAAACGTACTGAACAGATATCATCAAAACAGGGAATCATATTGAAAACACTATTAAATCAACAGCATGTTTAGAAAACTGACCTTTTCTTGGTCTATTTACTCAGAAAATAACTTAGCTAATGAAAGGTATGGAGTGAGTTGGCTAGTACCCTACGATATCTATCTATATTGATGCACAAATTGTGTGTGTTTGTGTGTATGTGTCAGTATTCGCTTTCGGAGATATTAAACTAAAGTGATGAACTATAATAGGCAAAAGTGAGAGAAAACTTTTGTCCTTAGCCTATCAGGCCCATTGATACCTCTTTTTGATCCAGGGAAACTCATCACCAGGATCACTTAATTCTATACATCTGGTGAGAGAGGGTGATCCGATTTCTGAGCATGAAGATCCTCTCCATCCATAAATCTATCATTCAAGCATAAATAATTCTTCTGGTCTCATCTCCCTTTTACAACTTGGACTTGTTGTCAGGCCAACTTAATTGGGCGCAACTTGCCAGGTGTCATCTGCTATAGTAGTGATCATATTTCCAAGCGTCGGACCATAGACTTGGAGTATTCTGGGATGTTGTGCCGAAGTCCACGATCCAACGCTTGGAAATATAACTGCCATAGTTTGTAAGACCTTCATTCTGTATGAAAGGGTATGAAGAAGAGATTCGTTAGTTGATCTCATCGTAAGATGACAGCTGACACAGACCAGGAGGCATCCTCCCTCGCCTCGGGTGAAAGCGGGTCGAGCTTTCGTCCATCAAATGAAGGAAACCATCGGAGCTGGGTCCCATTCCTGTAAAAGTCTCAAGTTAACACGAGTGCAAGAAGATTACCCGGCTCTAGCTTACCTCGTATCTATACTCTAAACTAAAAACAGAAATGTATCATAAACTTGGGTGGATTTATAGCGATTTGACTAATTATCTTTTATATTGGTCAAGCAAGTCTATTTGAGATGATAAGATTTAAGTTTGTGAGCATGTGAGTCAGGCCTGTCCTAACCTCTCAGTCTAGGTTCATTAAGGTTTAGCCAGCCTGGGATTGGCGGCACTGAGTCTGCCTAAATTCGTACGTCTAGTTTGGTTGATTAGCTTAATCCAAAATGTTGGAAGAGTGTGAGTGAAGTTAGAACCATCACTAGGCCGACGTATTGGGACGTCTTATTTTGGATGGCGATGTAACACCCTCACTCTCTTTCAATCTATCAATCAAGCATAACTAGTTCTTACTCAACTTTCTGCCACTATTCCGCACAGTCAACGTGTACCATAATCCATTAATTTCACTATCCTCTATTATCTTCCTTTTGACAGCAGATTTAACATAATCAGCAAATATATTCGTTTCTATCTCCGGTCCAGGCTTGGCCTGCATGTTCGGTCACTTCTCAACGTTTGATCCAGCTTTCATTGCCAGCATTTTTGTGTGTTGCCCTACTCTTTGTCGAATAGACTGCCAAGTCTCACCGACATCTCGATAATGGGTAGTATCTTACTTACTGTAATAGATGGCGTAATCGAAAAAAGTGTCGGCTTTTCTCTGGATGCCGTACTCATCCTCCACTTTCTCACTAGTTTTCCTATCTTTTTTGAAGGAAGGCATGACGGCGAAATGAGGACATGGAAAGAGCTCTCCGCTTATCTACCTTTGACTAAATAGTCTCCGTCTGAAAATTTATGCCTCAGTAATAAGCTATTATTTACAATTAGGCATAATGGATGATTATTTTCAAAGAATAACTTTTTCAGCCGTTCCAACCCTCTAGTCGGAATGGTTGCTATCCCCTAGTCTCATACTCCTAGTAATCCTTGACTTCCGATTTCCAACCTTAGTTTTGTA